ACAGCAAGAGGAGCAAAACATAAGCCTCATATGTGATTTCCAGCACTCAACATAAACCTTCAGCATGTATTTCAACAAAGGACAGCAAGAGGAGCAAAACATAAGCCCCCAAATGCATCTTTCTCACTTCATAAAATAATTTTCAACATGCATTCCTTATTTTCCAACATTTCAAGCAATGAAAATAATAGAGACAGCCCTCCAACTTTGCTTTTTTTTTATTTTATACATTTATAAAGGAATAAAGGAAGCCAAAAATGTCCAACATATGTTTCAAATAATGATAGGTAGTATGAGATAAGTAAGCATAAGCCAACATCCATTTAGAACATGAGTAATAAAGGCCTCTGATGACTCATTCTTATATGCATTTCTAGAGGGGCAAATCTCTTTTCAAAACTAGCATTATGACACTTCCAAATATCTCAAACAAGAAAAATAAAGGCATCCTATACATGCTCTATTCAGATTTTTCTAGAAAACATTCATACTTAAGCCTTAAAAATGAATTTCCATGCTTCATGATATATGAAATAATATAAAACAGGGGAGAATAGAAGAATACCTCTTCTTTTTGTGAACTTAAAGCAAAGGAGTAAAGCAAGCTTGAAAAAGATTCCCCTAATCGAATGGGTAATAGAGGTAGAAAAATACTCAAATCTCTCTAAAATCCCTCAAAACTTCTTTCAAAATTTTTTTTTTTAACAAACCCTAAGCCACACAGGATGAAAAGAACAAGTAAGAATGAATTTTTTAAGAGATTTTGACAGCACCTCCCTACTTTCAAAATTTCGGCCAGCCCCCTAAAACTCTCTTCAAGTGGGGTTTTAAAGCAAAAAAAAGAGGAAGGAGAAGCCACCTACCAGCCACCCTAGCAAGCAAATCGTGTGAGGGGAGAATAGGAGAAAAATTTAAAGCAAGAGGAAATGCAGCCTAGGGCAGAGGAAGAACCGACCAGATGGAGTTCCACCATTGGGAAGCTGTTCGGTCGAGCAGAAATCGAAGAGACCGTGTGCGCGAATGGACCGCGGAATGCCGCGTGTGAGGAGAAGAAGGGGAGCCGTCTCACGCGCAAATGGCATAAGAGACGGGGGAGAGGGGACGCGTGCGGAAGCTAGGGCTCCGCCCGAGCGGCTCTCGGTCGAAGAAGGAAAAA